ATACAACTGAATGATTATCCAGTTACACCATGTCATTTCTACTGACGCACCAAAAATTGAGTGGTAATACAATCAGTCAAAATGCTGGTAGCCGCGGTTGCTCATTATGGTTTTGTAAAGGAAAAATTATGTTCTTATTTTCTCAGGTTGCTTTTTATTTCAAAAAACCAAAAACCGTATACAGTTAGGATACGTTTTTCTAGATAGCTTTAATGACTTTTAATCACCTTAGAGGTTGAAAAGCACCATTAACTAGATATCATAGCGCACTGTTAAATAAAACTTCGATCATCAAGATTTGGCATGTTGGCACCCATTTTCAGCTAATGCCCTGCAGCTCACCGCCATTAAAGCCCCTTTACACTAGGCGGCGTCCTTCCTGCGTCCCTTGTGCGACCATGAATTCCGCATCACTGTTGTTGTAGAAAGGAGGCACCCGCCTATATTGATTTGGGCGCAGAATGAATGCTCAATGATGACCAGTTGTCGGCACGTAATTCTTTTTTACCCTCAAACAGGGCCATGTGACGGGATGCCGTCCAATGAAAAGGGGGCTTGTCGTCTTTCATTTTTGAATAAGCTAATGAAAAATACATTTACGTTACAAGTTTCTGCCATACATCTACGCATTTTTCTACATTTTCCACTATATCATTTACTGATGTTTATGGAATCACATACTGGTGTTTGGGGATGTGAGGATTTTTGCTGGCTTCCATCAACACAAGATTTGTACCGCGATTTGCGAGGCTTTCGAGATATGGGATAGAGAGGAAACACCATGCTTTCGCCCGCTCGCCATAAGCGAAGCTTTCGAGATACGGGGTCCCGGTTATCATCTGAAATCACAGGCAAAATTCTGACTATATTCTGTGCACAATATAATATTTTATAAACATCACCAACGAAGAATTGTATATACTTCCCGAGAAAACAAGTTTCACTTCTAATGCAATGTGAAGAATGATAAATAATATGATGTCATGAACCATATTGTATTTTATTCAACTTCTAAAATGGTTTTCACTAGAAAAAGAATGAATCATTTAACGACAGTAAAGAATCAAGGTCACATTTTAGCACTCTGTACAGGTTGGAGGACGCACTAAAAGCATTTATGGGTGGAATCAAAACTTCTGTAACGTTTTTCCACATACAAAGATAGAATGAGAACATTTTTGTTTGCAGGGTTATCCCTCAGCTGTACACTTCCGAGGGTATCCCACACTTTTTAAATAAGGTCCCGATCTAGGGAGTGAGCTGGCCATTGGGAGGTTTGTATCTGGGTCACATATAAAAACCCTATTGTTGCATTGGCTGCACGTGAAGAAACATTATCAGGCCGAAGAAAAAAATTGGTGGTCATAATCCCCAAATATATTGTACACTCTCTGCCCTAATTGCCCGATCCCCATTTAAAAAAATTAGGATCATAAGGTATTTATGTTCACATAGATTAAGGTCATGAATCTTATCTTCAAAGGGCAGATGGTGTATTGTTAACAAAACCGCTACAAAAATGCGTAGGCTAAATGAATATAATCCACAAGAATAATAGGTTAACCTGGGGCGATAACATCACGAAGCTATTGAAAAAGGCACGTCAACGAATGTATTTCTTAAGGAAATTGAAAGCTTTTAATAGAAATGTGTTTATTTTAACGAACTTTTACAGGTGTGTTTTAGAGAGTATTTTAACTTATTCAGTAACTGTTTGGTATGGACGTGCAACTGTGGAGGAGAGGAACAAGTTGGAAAAGATCGTCGAAACTGCAGGGATTGTAATTGGAACAGATCTAACTCCCGTCCATACTATATATCCAGACAGGACTAAAAAGAAAACATTATCAATAATGACAGACAGTTCCCATCCAGCCCATACCCTTTTTAAATTTTTACCTAGCAATTCAGGCTTAGCGATTTTTAAATAGCTTTTATCCTTCGGCATTTACTATTTTCAACTCTATCATGTAATTTTAATTTTCATTCTTTATATTTCAATGGCGCATGCTACAGGGCAAAAGATTCCCGATTTTATACATTTGTATTTTATTGGCTTAATAAATTATTATTATTATTATTATTATTATTATTACAAGGGGAAAAATAAAAAAACAGAAACGCGACTTGTGAATGCAACTTTTATTCTCTGCCCTTCGTGACTTCTTTGGAAAGTGCTTCATTGGGCTGGCCAGAGCTTGGCTTTGGCGAAGCATGGTACTGTTACAAAAAGTATCCATATATCGGTTACTACTGCATAGAAGAATTTGGATTTTAGCTTGCCTTCGGTCAGTTTTGTAGTGCGTAAAATGAGTCAAACAGCGTTTTATAAAATTGTTCATCTGTGCTAGAATGAGGCCAAAAAGACAGACATTGCCAGACAGCTTATTCTTTCACAGGGAACGGTGCGCACAGTTGCATAGAGTTACACCCAGACTGGTTAGCCTTTTTTCAAATTCTGAAAACGTCCCATTTAAGTTCCAAATAGTTTTTTTTTTATTGCACAGATAAATAAACTTACACCATGTGAACGAACCGGACATGAGATTAAGAATAAAAGCTAAATAACACCAAAAACCAATATAGAGGAGCTTTACACAAGCTGAAGTCTCAAAAGATAAATTTGAATGCTCTCGATTGTGTTCCTTTTTTAAGCATATATGTGTATAGAACGAAAATCCACGACTTTCCATTTTACGTCTACATTTGTATTGTAACACGGTGTATATCACTCTGTAAGAAAACAAATTGCAGCGTTTGTTCTGGCTAGTAGATATAATAATATCTAATATTATTATATCAAATGAAAAACTGAATATCATATAACGCGGTACAATCAAAGCTAACGTGAATATGCCTCGACTGAAGCTCGATTTCTAAAGAAAGAGGTCAAAATTTCCCGAATCATCTTAGTTTCCGGCCATGGCGATGGAATCTGCGTCCATGCTTCTTTTTTCGACCAAAGCATCCCTGAAAATGTGATCATCTCTGAGACAAAATTGTTTTGAAGGGAAATACTGTTGGAATATTTTTCAAGTTTAATTGTGCAAACATGTTTGATACATGTATGTATTATGTTTAGAAAAACGTCTTGGATTGAGAAAAGTAAATATTCTAGAACTGAGAAACATAAAAAGAAAATATATTTCTCCAACATACGATCTGTGCCTTATGGTTACACAATGAGATTAAAATACACAAAAAGCGCCCAATGCACAGTAAACAGTTTAAGAGATTTACATGTGTATATGTTTTTTAATATTAAGGGAACAAGTTCTACCCCCCTCAAAACCCGTATACTAGTACCTGTCTCTCTCAGTGTCACTTGCTTCATCTGTCACTGATCGCTTGTTGGTGCATGTGCATGTAGACGGTCGGTTTCTCTCAAAAACCATAATGGTTGTCCTTTTGTAAAAGTTTTAGATATCAAAGATAGAACATTGCCATATACAAGTATATTGAGGTAATGATTTCTAAGCGAAAAAAAGGTGAAGGGTTTTTAGATATTTTTTTATTCTGCAGTAATTCTTCAAAAAGGGTGTGCTCTGCATGTACTAAGCATTTATAGTTCACGGCATTAATAAAATTATAATAACTAGGTATTGTGTTCATACCATCGACCAATTCTCATAAAACTCACCCGTAACCACCTAACCTGTAACCACAGTCTCTCCGACATCCCCCGCCACAAGCACAGCCAAAAATATTGCAACTCTGATACCCGCAATACGGGGTCCCCTGGAATGACAACAGCACTAAGTAAATCTGTTCACCGTTAGGTCCATTTCTTCAATCCTTTTTTAAATGTCATATTGCTAGATCTACGCTACATATTATGATAAATCTGTGTGCGTGTGGAGCCGGGACATGGAACAGAATGGATTTAGAGTACTGCTACTGAAAAAGAAAATATAATTTATGATGTGATATTTTGTGTTAGAGCAACTTAATGGTTGTAAATTATGTTTATTCATTAAATTAGTCTAAACGCGTGAATTTAACAGGGATGTGAAAGCACTCGAAATGTAAAGCACTGATGACCACAAAGATAGCATTGAGGGCTTGGAAACTGTGGCAGCGTTCCATCCTCCCTGTGGTAGTCCACTATAAAAGGTTGCCATTTATTGCTATTTCACCATGCTGCCGTCTCATTTCCCAAGCACAGTTAATATGTAAATATTCAAAAATAATCATGTCCATTTGATCATAAACAACAGAGTTGCTCAGTAAACCAATGGCTGATGTATTCATATCAACACGGAATTGCAAATTAACTGATAACTTACAACAGTGCAATCTTTGCAGAAACCTCCTGTAACCGCTTTGCAGCAAACCGCCTCTGTTTCTTTAATTACAGCAGCTGTTAGACATGCTGCCACCAGGATGCCAACTATGGATCCGACCATATCCTGTAATTACAGCCGGAATACTAAATACTACGTATGATGTACAAATATCTGTTGTTTACGCATTGGAAAATGCAATCGTACAATAGAGGCAAATGTTTTTCTTCATTAAATAAATACATTATTCACACAATACAAATAACATTTCTGATTGAAAACTGCAGGAGTCGTTATGGCTGAGTGACTACCGATGTTTGGTATTGGCATAAATGATCTCTTTCACATTTCTTAAAGCACTATATTGCAAACAATTCTTATCATTTAATCTTGTTGTGTGAACATAGTAACATAGGGTGAATCCACTTTTCCAGTTTTCGTTCTGCCTCTTAAGAGCGCGTCCATGAGAAAGCCAGACAGATCAGTCAGAAGGCGGCAAGGTGGGGGTCAGCAGATTTTAATAATTTTTGGTGTGGTAAATCATCAACATAAAAGATATTGTGAGCCACTGGCTTTCTTATTTTGGATCATTAGTTTTAGAGATATGGGGGCAGATCTTTTATTGGCAATTTTGCCAAAATATAGCATTTTTTAGCTCTTGAAAAGTTATAATTTTAAATATTCTTTTAAAAAATCATGTACATCATAAGGATTTATTTAGGTAAGCCACATGATAGGTTAAGGAAAGATCTTTAATACCCAGTACAGATTTTTTGAAAAGGCACT